AAATAATAAAATCATCAGAAGGATGATTTAGTTTCTTAAGTGAAAAAAATAAATCTCGTCCGCAAACATTTTCTATCATCTCCAAATACGAATTTGACGGGCGACGCACGCCGAAGATTTAAACATTTAAACACTATATAAATATCTCCCAACTGTTAAGAAAAAAACAATTATGATATTTACATTTATGATAATTACTATGATATGATATTTTCTCTCGCCTTTTTTTCTATCTAAAATTATGGTACTACAGTTGGAATGAATTATTAGAAACTAAACAATATTAAAAAGAAATTTAAATAAATCCCTAATATTTGTAAATTTTGTTCAATATAATCTCAGTCATGTTAAGAATTTTTTCTTAATTTCATTGCCACTGTACGAATAAGATCGGCACGTTTTTCAAAAAAATATTCATCGCAATTAGTCTAAAGAACTATTTAGTACCTAATTTATTTGAATAACACCGTAAAAACAATCTTACGGTCTTGCTTGTGCAATGTACTTTTTATTATAGTGTATTTATTATAAATTAGATGCTCCGTTGATTCGTATTTAAATTCTAAGCGAGATATTAGAATGTTTTTTAAGGAGGTCAAGCGTGGTTCTCAGGATAAATAGTATTCATTGTTTTAGGATTTTGCTACGAGTGAAATTATGTTAACAAATTCGTGCTTGTGGTTCGAACATTGTTTATTAAATCTATGTAAATTAATAGAAATCTGCGATAACATCTCCGCAATTATGAAAATATCGACTGGAACTCGAGAGAATAATGCTCTTTTCTAGTAACAAAAGATTCGCGTGTCGTGTGAATTGGCGCCTACCTGACTATTGATTCTGAAACGTGATTCACCGAGTAGTTTTAAATGAAAACGAGTCAAAGCTCTGTGCCACCGAAGCGAGTCTCCGAACTTTTGTTTCTACCTATTTCCTGGACGAAGTCTCGTATAATGTAGTCGTGTATACGTATGTATACATATGCACACAGCGACTTCCATTAATATTCGTACACTCTTCAAAAGAGAATGGAGTGTTTATAATCGAAACTGTGTGTTCAAAAATAACAAAAGTCCATCGACCGATGTTCCAAAATCTTTTTTGTTAATCATCTTTATTTTATTATCAGCTATGTTGAATTTATCTGTGAATATTATCTGTAACGTATATCAGAGATGACATTTTTATATTGCTTTACATTGTTGTCAATCGTGTCAGACAAATCTGAGTAAGCAGAAAACAGTTGTGTCTATTACACAGTAATAACTAGATTGCGAATTTTATGCGTTCGTGGCACAAACGAGTGAATCAAATGCATAATACCAAAAATACAGATTACTATTCTTTCCAATTGTTCCTCAGCTTGTAAACANGTGTCTTTAAGCATTTATGAAGAAAATGATAGTATGAAACACAAAATAATAAAATCATCAGAAGGATGATTTAGTTTCTTAAGTGAAAAAAATAAATCTCGTCCGCAAACATTTTCTATCATCTCCAAATACGAATTTGACGGGCGACGCACGCCGAAGATTTAAACATTTAAACACTATATAAATATCTCCCAACTGTTAAGAAAAAAACAATTATGATATTTACATTTATGATAATTACTATGATATGATATTTTCTCTCGCCTTTTTTTCTATCTAAAATTATGGTACTACAGTTGGAATGAATTATTAGAAACTAAACAATATTAAAAAGAAATTTAAATAAATCCCTAATATTTGTAAATTTTGTTCAATATAATCTCAGTCATGTTAAGAATTTTTTCTTAATTTCATTGCCACTGTACGAATAAGATCGGCACGTTTTTCAAAAAAATATTCATCGCAATTAGTCTAAAGAACTATTTAGTACCTAATTTATTTGAATAACACCGTAAAAACAATCTTACGGTCTTGCTTGTGCAATGTACTTTTTATTATAGTGTATTTATTATAAATTAGATGCTCCGTTGATTCGTATTTAAATTCTAAGCGAGATATTAGAATGTTTTTTAAGGAGGTCAAGCGTGGTTCTCAGGATAAATAGTATTCATTGTTTTAGGATTTTGCTACGAGTGAAATTATGTTAACAAATTCGTGCTTGTGGTTCGAACATTGTTTATTAAATCTATGTAAATTAATAGAAATCTGCGATAACATCTCCGCAATTATGAAAATATCGACTGGAACTCGAGAGAATAATGCTCTTTTCTAGTAACAAAAGATTCGCGTGTCGTGTGAATTGGCGCCTACCTGACTATTGATTCTGAAACGTGATTCACCGAGTAGTTTTAAATGAAAACGAGTCAAAGCTCTGTGCCACCGAAGCGAGTCTCCGAACTTTTGTTTCTACCTATTTCCTGGACGAAGTCTCGTATAATGTAGTCGTGTATACGTATGTATACATATGCACACAGCGACTTCCATTAATATTCGTACACTCTTCAAAAGAGAATGGAGTGTTTATAATCGAAACTGTGTGTTCAAAAATAACAAAAGTCCATCGACCGATGTTCCAAAATCTTTTTTGTTAATCATCTTTATTTTATTATCAGCTATGTTGAATTTATCTGTGAATATTATCTGTAACGTATATCAGAGATGACATTTTTATATTGCTTTACATTGTTGTCAATCGTGTCAGACAAATCTGAGTAAGCAGAAAACAGTTGTGTCTATTACACAGTAATAACTAGATTGCGAATTTTATGCGTTCGTGGCACAAACGAGTGAATCAAATGCATAATACCAAAAATACAGATTACTATTCTTTCCAATTGTTCCTCAGCTTGTAAACAAAAATAGACAATTTGGGAAGAGGAGATACGATTATTCGAGCCTCACGACTCGTTTTTATAATTGCTGAGGGACAATTGGAGAGAATTCACTGTATTTAAAGAATTAGAAAATACTGTTTTATTAGTTATAATCCACTAAAATCACGAAGAAAGAGAGTAAACTACGGTCTACGCAACTTCATTATCATGCAATTAATGCAATCAATTTTGTGTTTTGCACAAAAATTCATAGTTTAATAATAACTGATATAATTTGCACTATTTTGAAATTCGTTGCATCAATTGTATTAGACAACTCGAATTTTCTGAGAAATTAGAGAGATCAGTTTACCATACGTCACCAAGATGAAATTTTGAAAAAATTGCAATCGAACTCGAGGGAGTTCATTAAAAATATGTTACCTAGATTCGCGTCAATTATATGAATTTTGAAAATTTCATAGAAATCGATTAACGTTGCAGCTTTTCATGACTTTTGGATTACTATTGAAGTCGATCCAAGGACTTTACCAAAAAAATCGCGTGTTGAGAAAACGTAAGTTTTGATTCTTTAACACACAATCAAATGAAATAACTGTAAAATGCTATGTTTCATACTTTCACCGTAATTCTGATCAGTTGCAATTTCTCCGAAATTTGTTTTCTACATACCATATGATAAACTGAGCCTTTTAATTTATCAAAAAGTTCAAGACGTCTGGTTGAAATTTAGAGACGATGTTCTCTCGTAAACAGTGTACGGACATTGGTGGAAGAAATGTAATTTACATATGTCAAAATACTAAAAAGACAAGCGAAATAAGTCCAGAACTTAACTATAAATTTGGTTAGTAAACAACGCACTTGTCGATGAACGATATAACATTTCTTGTTTCTCATAATCATATTCTCTTTTTTGCACATCAAGTTATCTTTGCATAGATCATATTCACCATTCTGCAAATCAAATTAACCTAATTGATTGTCTTTTATTAAATTTGTTTATTCGAATATGTATATATACATATATTTTATAAATTTATAAAATAATACGAATTTCGTTACAGATAATTAATCATTGATACGAATTCTATTACAAATAATTACTAATAAATCAAGTTAATTTGCAGAAGGGTAGATATGATCCGCAAAAGGATTAATTTTAAGTGTAAAACCTGTGTGTATCTCCCACTGATGACTAAATCAAGACAAGCTATGTACGAGTTTCTAATTCCATTGAAACCAATACCAAGAATGTTTTGGAAAATTTCCAATACTATCCCTCGTATAGGATTATCGGATCATCAAGATAACGTTATTTTAGCGAGGCGAGCATGCGCTTCCTATTGTAACGCAATTTCCTCTTATAGCAGATAAACATTTTTTTTTAATGAACAATCCGGTAGTTATTTCTTTATCGAAAATGGTTTCCGGACACTGTCGTAATGTGATCTGACACGGTTGAACGGTATTATTGCTAGATTGATAACGGTAGTTGTTAACAGTGTCTGGCGGTAAATGATATTAATGATGCGGGATGTACGCGATAATTTCTTGTTGCATAATTGGCACCTAATTTTATGTTGCACGTGGAAACGGAAACTGCTTGACTTGCAACAAGTGTCTATATAACGCCACGCATAATAATGTGTACAAGCCAACAGAAGCACATGAATTATGCACGCGCAGCCTCAATTTTAATATTTCATCAATTTAGGCCTAACGACTTTATTACCTTTATCGAACATGAAAACAATAGGTGAATTCTCAATCATCTTACAGTCAACGCACACACGGGCTACTTCCCAGCCACTTTCGGGCCACAAAAATCAGTGTTTTTGCCACATTTGTGATTTCGCTATCGTTCAAATCGATCAATTGTGGTCCACGATAATCAATAAATTGATCAAAGTTTTTATAAAACAATTGGGAAATGGTTCGCGTACAATTAGCATTCAGCATCATCGTACACTGCCATGTAAGGATGGGCGATTGTTGCAAAAAAATCGATTCTCAAATCGATTTGCAATGGCTTCCTTTGCACCTAAAGAAAAATGATTTAGTTACGCATCAATGATCTATGTAAATGATCTACGTATACTCACAACTAACAAACTTTCCAACTAAGTCTTATTCAAGTTGATTATTTTTTAAATTAATTCCCGTACAAATAAACTATTATTCGAATAACAAATAACATCTTATTCGGATGAATTTTTCTTCGAATAAAATTTGATTCGGATCAATTGTTATTTAGATTTTGTATTCCACTGGATATTTACTTGACAATGTCGAATACAATTTTATTCGTTAATACTTATTTCTTATCCGAAATTCGAGTAAAATTTCTCTTAACTCTGTAATATCTCTTGAAGTAAATTGAAGTAATTCCAGGGACGTTTTGATCAAACCCCGTAACATGAAAATGTGCTGTCGGTGCAGAAATCGACTATTCATGCTTCAGGCTTTCGAAAGAAGCCTAGGAAACGACATTTGACCCTTGAAATCGGAAATCTAGCTGATCGTTATTTTTCTTCAGCGCGAGGCGAATGAAATTCGCTAACTTTTAAGCGGTAACATTATCCTTACAGTTAGCCTGCTTCGTTGGCCGCAGCAGATTGCGTCGCTTGCATTTCCCGGGCGAAAAAAGGACCTGCTTAGACGCTGGTACGCGCAGAGCCGAACACGTAATCGGCGGTCTCCTGACAAGCCGATCGTGAAAGGTGCTATGTACGCGCGACGTTAATTGCCGACGGTGTGTATTTCCGAGTTTTAATAAACTGGCCGTCGTTAAGATCGCACTGCCAGTTAACTTCTTGCCCTCGTCAACCGGTCTCGTTACGTCGCGTTGCTTCGTAAATCCTGGAATACCAACAGCTGGAAACGAGATCAGCAAATCCACTTGGCGAGCCGACATCGTTCAGCTACTTACTTTTTCTCTGCTCGCATTGGAATCGCCACAGCCGAGTAAAGTCCGAGAGAAACGTGCCTACGGTGTTTAATTTAACGTGAGTTCGATCTTATCGCTCGTCGCGAAGAATCATTTGTACCTCGCGTCTATACATACCAGGATGTCTAATACATAACGCCAGACTTGTCTGACATTCCAACGCAGTGTTTCAGGCTGAATTATGTTACACGGTGAGATACAGTTTTTCGAACCAACGAAGAAAATCGTCGAAAGTCCAAGGGAAACTGTTGGGTCGTTCGGAGTGTAATTAAATTTGTATACGAAAGAATTAGTTGGTAAAGTAATTTCCCATATTTTCTATGACTCGAAGAAACTACGATGCTTCATTCCGATTAATTTCGTTAATTTCGTAATTTTCGTTAGTTTCCTTTCGAATTTTCCCTAGTTTTCGCGAACGCTGAGAAATGGCTTGCCTTTTTACTTTCTTCTAGCTTGCGATGCAATTTTCTTTTCGGTGTGAACCGAGTTTTTAGCCAAACGAGACTGCAATTTCAACGTTCTGAATCTTTGCGGTTGGCCAGGTCGTTCTTTATCTTGAAGATCAAAATCTCCTACTACAAACCTCTTATAACAATATTTGTAGGTGGGATGAGATACAGCATTATCACCGAGAGCACTACAAATCGTATCTCCAGCTCCGGCTGCGTTTTTTTCCAGTTGAATTGCGAAGAACCCACAACGACGCACATGCTCCTTCCTACGATGCATTATTTAAACAAGTGTTTCTCTGGGTTATGTTAGCCGATTCAGACAGCCTTGTAGTGCTTTGGTAAGCTCGAGATGAGCACTACAATATCTCGGAACACTCGTTACGAGATTCCAATTGCAAATAGCCTTTATGATCACTGGAAGATAAAACATTGAAATTAACTTGTACACCTAATATTTATTATCGATACAGTATTACTATATAGGGTATTCGCGATAACTTGTACCAGTGTTTTCTTTGTAAACGGAAAACATTAAAAAAAATACGGAAGAGGAGGAAGTTATACTATATTTTACTGGCAATACGACAGTGTATCTTAGTTTTTTATGTTTTTAATATTTTTCGACAAAGGAAGGTGACCTTCATTCTTTTTATATCTGTTCTATAAATATGGACTTCTCGTGTAAACACACACACACACACATCTTGCGCATTTCTAAATTCCACATATACTAATGGAGTTCCAACTAATTCCGGCATTTTCGACGAAACCGGCCAGAATGATTTAAGCATCTTATTAGTTTCTTCGCAGTATGAAGGCACGAAACGTGGAATAATCTTCGTTTATGGTTGACGGCAGAACGTATTTTTATATGTTAATATTTCACATCCTCGGTTCGGATTCTCTTATAAGGTTTAACGTCACTCGCGGCTCGGTCCCGACTGTGCGTTTCGAACATTTCTTAGTGTGCTTAAAACTGTTTTAAACTTCAGCTTGATTTTAATTGCGTCAAATAAATTACCGACACTTTACGATCAGCTGTAAAGTTACAGTTAATTTTGAGATAGTTCCGGAAGCCGGTGTCGTACGAGCATGCGCAGCTCCGTGTTATGTCTTCTTCATGTATTTTTTTTCGCATACTCGACGACGGTGACTTGCGCGTGTAACAGAATCTGTTGTTAAATCATGAAACGCGTGCTACACGGTGACGAGAATTTTCAAATGATGCGGTGCAGTGATATACAAATATAAAGAGATTTTAAGAACTGTGGGATATGAAATAATGTCAGAAACTAAATGTTGCGCATTGACTACAATTGTCGAACAATTTTTCTTCAAAGATTGTGTATGCTTGTATCGATCATGTTTTTGATCCACTAATCGGAGTTTACAACAAATATATGTTTAAACATTTTTAATATTTCGTAGAATATTGTTAAAACTTTGGTAGACCGTGAGTTTCGAAAATCGACATATATTACATTTGACGTGATAGCATCTTTCTTTCTGAATCAGATTACGATAACAAGGACAGTCATTTATCGATAGTTTGATTTATGACTACGTATACAGGGTGTCTCGGTAACTCTCTTACAAAGCGATATCTCCATTATCGGCAATGATACGCAGGAATGCTTAAGGAACAAATCGTTTGATTCAAAGGAACACATGTGGTGGAAATCGTTTTTTCTAAAGGTTATATTTTTTGAGATTTTAAGGTCATCGATATTTTTTTAAATGGGAATACATATTTCTGTTATTATATCATAATAGCTAAGATCGAGACAAATCTAATGACCTATAGTAACATGACTTTCACGTGACCTTAAATTGAACATTGTATTGCTTGTTGTGATTTCTAATTGTCGCGCCAAAATCGGTTGCGAACTGAACAAAAAACCGAATTAAAAAATGTACAGAAATCGATAGAAATAATTTTGAACATTTTTTTGCCAATAAATTTGTCATTGTTGATCTCTCCGTTGTAATTATTTCAGCATTCGTGTTCATTTCTGAATGTTTCAAGTTTAATTTATTCGTACGCAAGGTGACGCGAAGGTTATATTTTTGTTGTTATATTATTATGGGTCATTAGTTTATTATTGGTCATAGTTATATTATTGGTCATTTGTTTATTATTGGTCATAGTTATATTATTGGTCATTGGTTTATTATTGGTCATTGGTTTATTATTGGTCATAGTTATATTATTGGTCATAGTTATATTATTGGTCATTGATTTCGTCTTGATCTTAGCTATCATGATATGATAACAGAAATAAATATTTAAACCTATTTAAAAAAAACATCGATGACCTTGAAATCTTGAGAAATATGACCTTTAAAGAAAAACGATTTTCACCACATATGTTGCTTTGAACCAAACAATTCTTTCCTTCAACATTCCGCGTATCATTACCGATAACGGAGATATCGCTTTGCAACAGGGTAACTGAGACGCCCTCTAGTATAACGTGTTCACGCTAACACTAGCCATCGTATATTTTTGCAACGTAATAGATATTATGAAAAGAGTGAAAGAAGACAAAGTTATACCGTTCTATGTCTCCTTGCATGCAATGTAATGATGCCTGTAATTCTTCTTCATCTGCATTATTTTTTTTTTGGTAATGGAGGTGACCTTTAATTTTTTAAGTGGAATGTAATGTAATTTTTTGTACCGCATTTGTATCGTGTGCCAAAACGAATTTATTCGAATACGACATAATGACCTTGAAGATCGCGCAAGGTCAGAAACGGGAGAAATACTTTGAATACTTCCTGCTAATGTATTTACAAGTTTTCTTTATCGAAGCGAGATAGTAAATGCTCAATATGATTTTGATGTGCACGATTGCCTCGATTTCTGTCCTTTTACGATCTTGGAAGCTATTACCTTGAATGAATTCGACGAATGAAATCGTTTTGGCACACGCTTTTGTATTATATAATAATACATAGTGTACCATTTAAAAAATTGAAGGTTACCTTCATTTCTAAAAAATTAATACAAATTAAAAAATTACAGACATCACTTTTTAAAATTACAGAGTTTCATTTTTGTTACATGTTCACTATTTGCAAGGAAAACACTGGTTAGTTTTAGCGTGAACACACCGTATAAACAGAAATTACAGATACTGGACATGTAAATGTAGCAAATCGATTTAAAAGAACTTCTTGAATGCAAAATTATATTTGTTACAAGCAATGACAAATAAAAACACAGCGATTCGATCGTGCTAGAATTATTAAAATTCGTAATTCTTTGTCTGCAGTAGATATTTACTATAAATGTATAAGATTCACGTTTCATTGATAATGTTCAATTTGAACTTTTATGTACGGTCGTATTTTGAAACGAAATGATGCTTTGAAAAGTGTGCGAAGATAAACGTTAAATACTTTCGAAATGTAAAAAATCCTGCAAAATATTTTAAAAAATCGTGCATCTAGTTTCCGATATTGTTTAAAACTCTGCAAACTACATGTATAATAGCACGAGTGCTTTATGCGTCTATAAATGTATTACACAGAGCATAAATTGAATAGAAAGATTAGATGAAACGTTGGTCCGTGCTGAATTAACATTTTTAAGAGAACCATGAATATTAAGTGAAAGATGACAGTAAAAGGTTCTGCGGCTACATAATTTAATTAACTGCATTGTAGATACACGCGGCGACCAACAAATCTCGACAAAGCGGGCGTAACATAGAAGCTGCTTAACCCTCTCACCTGTTCACGGTCAAATGCCTTCGATGCTTATTTCTGCTTGCCTCGAGCGGTCGCGTCGAGGTATGCTTGCCTTTCGCTGCCCTTTACCGAAAGAATTTTACTTTCGTTCGTGTTAATACTGTAATTTCGAACTCACGAAATCTCAAGAGTATTTATTTAATATTCGTGTACACTTCTGGCTCGATGGTTCAGTTTGGATTTAAATTAATATTTATATTTCATTTCTCCGTAACTATATAACTCATTTAGTCCAGTAGCGGTTAATAATCGCTAGACAGCAGATCTTTATGCAAGATAAAAATTTTCCAAGACGATTGTAAGAAATATAAATGAAATCAAAGTAAACCGTTTTTTCGAACAGTCTTTATAATTTGAAAACAATGTAACAATACTATAAAATTCTTCCTGCGTCTTCGCAATTTTATACAGGGTGTTCATGATCAAGTTTATTAAGAAATAATTGCAGTTATATTAAAAAGAAAAATATAAATAAACAAGTGTAAGAAATAAATTATTTCGTTAAGATAACTAAAAATAAAAGAACATTTTTATATTTTAAACTTATTTCCCTTTTACACTTAGCATAAGAAAGTGTTCATGGTAAATAGGGGATATGTAAGGCAGTAAACTCATCGTGTCGTCATATTTCTCTCATGTTATAGGTGTTGAAGCTTCATACAGTTCCAACATAGTAATTTTGCTGATATGTTTAGATCTTCCTTTCTTCCAAATTGAAAAAATAACTTTAAATGAAGCGTTTTCTTCCATACTGGTTTTGTAAACAATTGTTTGCGGTTCATCAAAATCTCGTTTTATTTCATACAAAATGAAGTTCTTTTTTTAGGTAATTCTTTATTACATCATAATAGTCTTGAGCAGTATATAAATGATCTTTTTTCTTTAATGCTGTTTCCATAACTCCAAAATGGCTATTAGGAATGGACTTATTCCACTTTCAAATACAAGATTTTCGCGATAACATTTTATAGCTGAAACTTCTTCGATTACTTTATCAAGAAATCGTATACTCCATTGATTGTATGATTATAAATGTAAAAAGAGAGCATATCAATGTCTTACTAAAATTACCATTCACTTTTTCCTTTCCAAAAGTGGGCTTATACCACTTTCAAAAAAAGCTCATATGGTAGTGTCGATTAGTACGCGATGAAGAAAACATTTGAAAAAGATTCTCGATTCTCGCCAAGATTCGTGTGTGGATGCAGAACAGTGATCCTGGTCTTCTGGAAGTAAGCATACTGTACACACGCTATAACTATGGATAGCCCGTAGTAGAAGTGGTACACAAGAAGTTCCTTGGAACGTTCCTTCCGCGCCAGCTTTGTACACAGGTTGGGATTCAAGAATCCTTCGGTAAAGTAACAATACCTAGGAAGTGGAGCGAGTTACGATGCGGTAGCCATAACGTAGAGAATGCTTTATGAGCACTCGAAGAATGTCGTGCGTACGATTCAGGTTTCATCTTACGTTTCGGTTATCGGATAGTTTTTCCATCGATTTTCGAGTGTAACTTTCGTTCATTCGGAATGAATGATGATGATGATGATTTTTCGTCGAATAATATAAATGTAATAAATTTTGATAAGTTCAGCGCGAAGACAGCGCGAAAGTCAGTTAACTGTGAATATTTCTGGAGCCGTTATAAAGGGTAACAATAATTACGAATTACGCACATTAATTTGTACGCTGTGCCCTTATGGCATTACTGGAAGCAGCAAGACGGTAAAATATGGTATTCTACTGGTTATTATTTCTGCCCCTCATTACTCATGCATCGAGTCGTAGGCGTTTAGTTTTCCATGAGGTTACATTACACGGTGCCGCAAGCTATTTGTAGCTACATGTGGTTATACGTGGGCAAGATGCACTCAAGAAATGTAGAATGTAACCATTTCGTGGTTAGATGCATAGTTCAGGACCAACCTGACTGTTACACAAACGGTTTCCATTATAAAGGGATCGATCGCTTCGCATTGCTAGATCTACCTATATCTCATTTCCCTAATTACATTTCGCTTTCACAATCCTTCGATCTACGCTTCTCAACTATTCTACGGTGTACACAAAAACTTACGCCAATACCGTTCGAGTCGCAGAGACCCGACCAGAAAAATACGTGCGTATCTTTCGAAACAGCACTATAATACGATGCTTTTAAGCTCATCGTATAGAAGGATATATATACGATAGTCCCAATCGATGAATTCGCAACGATTCTAGCAACGTCTTGACGTTATAGCTGACATGGAGATGAATTCAACGATCTATATAAAA